GAGTTGGGCCAGCCCCAAAAGGACATGTTAGGGTCTAGGGCAGTTAGGGGCCACGAGGGTGTCGATTATATATAGGCATTAGTCACCTCACTAACTGTTTGTCCTGGCTACCATGGCGAGTAGATTTTCCACTCCACTTACGCTTGGATTAGGGTGAGGCCAGACTTAAGCAGGAGCTCATTGTAAGGGTCACGCAAGGACAAGGAGTACTGCACCCTTAAATTGTGTGCCCTGGGCAGTCGGCTTGCTTCTAGCACTGCCTCACCTTGATGAGGCAGCACACTCCTGACGCTTCAGCTTCTCCCCTCACCTGTCCTGTTGCAACACATTCTCTCCCTCTCAGCGGAGCCGGCAGTGGTCTATTGTTAGGATGTAGTCAGAACTTGCTGCTCTGCCTCAAACCTTCCAGCCTCGCCATCTGCTCAGTAAGCCTGTCTTCCTCCCGACTTCCTCTAACACTTGCCATTCTCATGCTGCTGTTTCAACGGTGGCTTCTTTGCTGCCCCTCACAGGTGCCAGCCCTTTGTGCTCGCCGCATCACAGTTTCCTCCCTTCTCCTCTACAGATCCTTTTAGAAAGATCACCTTCTCAGTGCGGTTGTCCCTGACCCCCCTCTTTCACTATGCACCTGCTCACCCCTACACTCTTGATCCTCCTTCTGCGTTGATTTTTTTCCCTGCCCCATTTATTTACTGACTTCCTCCCCCCCCCGCCCCCAACCAAGAAGTGCCATGAGGGCAGCAGGTTTCATGTTTCATTCAAGGCTGTATGCATAGCACCTAGATCAAGACCTGTCACTCAGTCAACATTTGGACATTTGCGGGGTAGGTGACAATGCATGGGGGAGCCATTTCAGACTCCGCTTGGGCAGCTGGTGCCCCAGCCCGTACGTGACTCCTGGCCCAGCAGGCACAATGACCAGGTTTTGATCCATGGGCAAAACAATAGTGCTCCGCACCCAGAGAACACACTCCCCAAGTGCCTTTGTCTTTTTTGGCCTCGGCTCATCAGAAGCTTTGTCACTGGAAAACTAACAGAGCCCTATGCCAGAAAGGTTGGCTGGACCTTCTGGTTATTTCAGCTGTTTCCAAGGCTCTCTAGCAGGCGGCTTGGCTACGGGGAGGTCCCCAGGGAGCCAGGGTCAGGTGGTCAGGTGATGGACTCCCGGTTCTGGTTCAGACACTGTAAAGCACATCTTCAGGTTGCTTCAACCTGTTCGCTTCCCAGCCCTTCTGGGCAACAGCCTGCGTGTCGTTCATGCCACTTCTGTGAACACCTTTATCTAAAAACAAGCCTGGAACCTGAAGAGGAGCCAAAGTTTAGCAGACCCTGCAGTTCTGCTTTAAGATGGGGGTCATAAGAAAGAACAGGGATCATTGCAAAGCTAATTGGCAGCTCAAGTTCACAGTGCTGCTGTCCGAGGAGCAATGGGACGAGGGCAGTGGTTCATTTGTGCTCAGCCAGGATCTGTCCTAGTCGGCTCTGCTCCATGGAGCAGATGGGCCTGCCTCATGGAGTTTGTGGAGTCAGGTGGTCCAGCACCTTCCACCTCACTGGGAGGAGGGGGGAATGCTTTTACCAAAGGTGCCCCCCTTTTTCCTTAGCTCACAGGAGCATACCTTGCTAGTGTCTACTTTCTCTACTGAGAGGGGGAAGGTGGTGGGTAGAGAAAAAATTGGGGAAGTCACCCCAGATAAGGCTCTGAGCTCAAAGTCTCTCGGACCTGTTAAAAAGAACCCCCTCCCCATCTTCACTGAGGTATAGTTGACAAGTAAAATGTGTAGGTATTGATGCTGTATACTATGGTGGTTTGATTACGAAATGATTACTGCAATGAAGCTGATGAACACACACGTCAGTCCCCTCATGTATTACCATTTGTATTTTTTTTGTGGTGGAAACCTTTAAGGTCTACTCTCCGAGCAGATTTCAAGTTTGCTGTACAGTGTTATTAACTGCAGTTGCCATGCTGTACATTAGCTCTCCAGAAGTTACTCATCCTGCGTAACTGAAAGTTCGTGCCTTCAATCAACACTCGCCATTTCCTCCCTGGCCCTCGCCCCTGGCAAGCACCATTCTACCCTCTGCTTCTGTGAGTTCAGCTTTTCAGGTTCCACACATGAGTGCAATCAGGTGGCACATGCCTTTGTGCGCCTGGCTTATTTCACTTGGCGTAATGTTTGCTAAGTTCATCCAGGTTGTTGTAAATGACAGGATTTCTTTTTTTTTAAAAGTTGAATAATATCCCATTGTTTACATGCATTATATATACAGCACATTTTCTTTATCCATTCATCTACTGATGAACACTTAGGTTATTTTTGTACCTTGGCTATTGTAAAAAATGCTTCAATAAACACAGGCTGCAGGTACTTCTTCAGGGTAACTATTTCATGTCCTTTGGTTAAATGCTCAGAAGCGGGATTTCTGAATCATATGGCCATTCTATTTTTAATGTTCTGAGGAACCTCCATACTGTTTCCCATAATGTCAGCTTGGATCTTTATTTTTTTTTTCCCAGCTGGATCTTAATCAAAGTCTGAGGCTTGGAGTTCATTCTGAGAACGTGTGGTTTGCCTTTTTGTTGTAGTTTTTAAAAAAATAAATGGGGAAAGGATTAAAAGTCTCTCTTGAAGTGTGGGCATGAAGGATAATGCAATGGAGCACTGGATAAATTAGCTTATTTCTATTCTGTGAAAATATCACTACTTAATTCACTTTAAAAATCCTCAAAAGGCCCTGGCTGGTGTGGCTTATTGGATTGAGCACAGACCTGAGAACCAAAGAGTCACTGGTTCAATTCCCAGGCAGGGCACATGCCTGGGTTGCGGGCCAGGTCCCCAGTGTGGGTGGGGTATGTGAGAGGCAACCACACATTGATGTTTCTCTCCCTCTCTTTCTCCCTCCCTTCCCCTCTCTTTAAAAATAAATAAAATCTTATAAAAAATTAAATAAAAATAAAAATCCTCAAAGGAATGTTTTATTATGGAACCCTTAAGCAAAACAATTTACAGGGTCCTGCACAAATAACACCGCCTTTTTACTACATAAAGATCATAAGCATGTCATTCTGTAACATAACAATATCACACTCAAGCACACCATATGGCATTTTAGGTGACATGTTCAAGTTGATGTCCATCTCATGTGAGATACTCACGTACCCTATGCACCACACTCAGTGGACCCTGGACGTTCCACCTTAATTTTAGCTTCTTTCTTAAGTGAACTGGGTTTTTGGTTTTTCTGCGTTGAATCTTTCGGAAATGGATTAGTGACCAAGAATGAGGCCATCCAGTATTCCAAGCTAAGGAGCTGTAAGAAGAGAAGCTTCCTGTGGTTGTTGCTCGTGGTCAGAAGCCAGTGGAATGAAGCTGGGACTCACCCAGCAGGCCCACGAGGGTTTGCGAGGCGCCCCCCTTGTGCACCAGCTCTTTCTTCCAGATAGGAAAGAGCCTCTGGGGCCTCAAGATCAACAAATACCAGTTGAATCTAATTGACTTTGAAATAGTACCTCTCCTTTTAGAAAACAGAAAAAAAGAATTGCGTTTCTGAACAGTTGATTCATTGGCCTCCAGATGACCATGCCTGTTTACTTGGACTTGCTTTTTATGGTGAAGTGTGCAGCTGCCCATCTTTCTGAGTGTGTCTAGGTCTTCCCGAGTTTACATGCCCTCAACGGGCCCCATCCTTGCACATTAGCCACGGGGCTGGCTTTGCCAGCCGTGTACTCCTTCTCCAGGTGGCGGTCACAACTGGAGGTAGAGCCGCCATAATCCAGCCCTCATTGCCCCTTCACATGTTACAGCCTGGTTCTCCAGCCTTCGCCAGCATTTGGGTGTTCAGCTGAGCTTTTTATCTGGTCCAGAGTTTCAAGCCTTTCTCTCCTTACTAACTGAAAATTTAGGGCTTTTAAGTAAACTTGAGGTGATCATTTTATTTTATTGTATGGTTCCCATTTGCAACCCGTGTTGAAAGCGTAACCTTCAACTCTGCCTTTCAAATCCGAACCTGATTTATTGCTTTTGGGCTTGCCCACTGAAGCTGCGTCACCTCTGGTTAGGTTATGCACCCGTTAGGTTTGTCATCTCCAGTTGGGTTAGTTTTGTCCGGGAACAAGAATCAGGATGTTTTCCTTTTCTGAGCATCTTGGTAATGAAAGTGTGATTCAGAGACCAGTAGTGTAGGACTTTCTGGGGAGCTCGTTAAACATGCAGAGCCCAGAAACCAGCCTCACCCACTGAGCCTGCATTTCGGTAAAATCCCTGGTTGATTTCTATGTACCTCAAAGCATGAGAGGCACTGGCTGAGCGTGTCTTTAGATCTGCTTATTAAAAATTACATTGTCAAGATGTAAAAGGACACAATTCCATCAAGAAATAAAACATTGGTTCCTACCATTTTATTATGAAACAGTTCAAAGACATGGTAAAATGAAGAGTCTACAGTGAGCCGCCATAGGCTCTCCACTTAGATTCTACCATGAACTTATTTATTTACATTTCCCCTCCCCCCCATGTTTTGGTTGTAAATTTTGTATAGAAATGTTTGTTTGCAGCCTGCCTGTTCGAAAGGGTCGTATCTTGTAATCGGGTTCTCACCCTCCCTCCTCAGTGAGGAGGAGTCATTCCATCAGGATCGTCCTCAGTGAGTTTGATAATGTCACAGTGGGAGACCTTCTTGTGAAGCAGGGGAGCATGGTGGGTGGCAGAGTGGGGTGCTGGCCTTGCCCCATCCAGAACACTGGGCCTCAGCATCCTCATGTATCCAGCGAGTGGTTTGAGAGGGATGTTGCTCCCACCCTGCGATTATAGGCTCATTGCAAATGCTGTTGTCGTCACTATTTCTCAGGTGGAGAAACTGATGAACCAGTTAAATAGTTGAATAACTAGAAAAACATGTGCTGGCACGGAAAAATGCTTATTTCCTAAGCTACTGAGTACAACACAGCTGCACTGGCAGTTTTCACTCTGTTTTCTTGTCAATTTTTGTTCTTTCAGGAAACCTTACAGAAACATGAAGCCCTCAACCACCTGGGACTCAGAAACTCATCGGGGGCTGACTGCAGCGTCGAGAACGCCCAGGTGTTCTGCAGATGCGAGGTCCGACCCTGCACTCACCAGCTGGAGTCCTGACCAGATGCAAGGCTTGTGCTTCGGCTCTGACATCTCTGAGCACCGAGGGGTCACTTTCTAATCGGCCACAGGGCAGTTGCTGACACTGATGTCTGCTTGCTTCACACAGCCAGTCATCTTAGGGAGCTGTAGTGGGGAAAGTCAAAGTCGGGGGTGCAAGTTTCCCGACTCTCTTGAATTTAGGATTCTAGATCAGGGACTCATTTCCACAGCCCCCAGCACCGCCACCGCCTCCGGAACCCTGGGCCTCAGCATGCTCATCTTTGCAGTGAGTGCGTTGGAATATCTTCATGCAAAAACACTGATCTCCGGGAACTCCCTGCATTGAAAGTGAGCAGAAGGGGACTCTACGAGAAGTCTCTAGTGGTGGCCCACTATCATTCCATATCGCCATGGCCTGGCTGCTTCTAAAGGTTTTATTGGTGGGGGTGACTTTCTTGGGATGTCTTTATCCTCTTGTGAATTTTTGCTTCAATGAGGAAACAAGAGGCCAGAAACCAAATTTCATGATCATTTTGGCAGATGACATGGGGTGGGGTGACCTGGGAGCAAACTGGGCAGAAACGAAGGACACTGCCAACCTTGATAAGATGGCTGCCGAGGGAATGAGGTGAGTCTGAGGATGCTAACTCGCCTTCATTTTGGATGTGTTACTCTGCCTCTTTTGAGGGGAGGGGGAGGCACAGAGCATTTAAAAGGCAGTTTACTGGTCCATGTTGATTTAATTGTATGATTGATTAGTTTGGGGTGAAGGCAGTACAGCCTTATAGAGAAATCCAGGACGAGTCTGTGGTCCATCCATCTATCCGTTTGTTCTGCCATCTGATAACATTCAGAGTCTATGTGTTAGCGAGGAGGTAAAAAGCCTCGCCCTCCAGGTACGTCCTGTCTGGTGTGCAGACAGGTTCAGTGGAAAGTAAGGATTAGGACCCAGTACAGGATCTGCATCAGGAATTTTTGGAGTTCCTGGGAGGGTTTGGAACCCAGCCTGGGGGTTCAGGGGAGAAGGAGACCTTTGAACACCTGAATCACGAAGGCACAGAAGGCAAGGTGACTGAGGTGACAGTACTCACGAGGCACACTTACCACACAGGGTCTGCAAAGGTGAGGAGTGTGCACGTGAATGGATGGAAGTGTTCATAATAATTTTTGTTCAAATGCATAGCCCCCCTCCCCACATAAATAGAGTACAAGTGTCAGTGTTCAACCCTTGGGGTTTTCTTCTCGGGCTGACCTTGACCCCGCTGGCCGGCTCAGATCCCATCTGCCCTGGGTTGACTCCTCCTTCTGGCTCAGTGGGGTCACTCCAGGCTAGGGAGGACCAGGCTGGGGCATCTTGTATCCTGGAGCTTTTCCCTGAGGTGCAGGCCCTTGGGATCCCTGCATGTGGTCACTTGAATTTCCAGTCCGTCCTCCTCATCTCAGCCAAGGTAGACTTTGTAGAAACGCTTCTCTGCTTCCAAGCCTTCAGAGTCATTTTGTGTCCCTAAGGATAAAATCCAGACTCCAAGCAGCAGCTCACAAGACCAGCCCGTGCACCACACCAGTCTCTGCACGGCCCCTCTGGCCTGCAGCTGCCATCAATCAGCTTGCCTTCCTCTTTCTGGGCCTCACCCGTGTGATCAGTCCTTCCTGGTACCAGCGCTGTCCACTTTCTCCATTTAATTCGTTTCTACTCGCCCTTGGGTTCCGATTCCATATGAGGTCCTCGGGAAGGCCTGCTCGGGTGTCTCAGGTTGACTCTCCCATCACCTTGCTGCTCTCCATGGTGATCATTTAACCATCTGACCACCTGGCTTGGGTTGAGTAGCATCCTCCCCAAATTCATGTTTACCCAGAACCTCAGAACATGACCTTATTTGATAAGAGGGTCTTTGCAACTGTAATTCCTGAAGGATTTTGATAATGCCATATAGGATTTAGGGTGGGCCCAAAATAATGACTAGTTTCCTTATAAGGAGAGGAGGGGACACAGGGAGACACACAGAGGAGAAGGTGACATGGAGATGGAGGCGTCGGCACGCTAGGAGTACCAAGGCTGGCTGGCAACCACAGGAAGCTGGGAGACAGACATGGACCCAGTTCTCCATCTGAGCTTCCAGAAGGAACCACTCTTGTAGACATCTGGATTTCAGAATTCTCACCTCCTGGACTGGGAGAGAATCAATTTCTGTCATTTTAAAATACCTAGTTTGCAGCTGCAGGAAACTCATACACCTCAATTCTAGCTCTGGGCTTCAGGAAGAGAAACGCCTTCTCTATTCTTCCCAGCCCATAGCACAGCGCTTGCACATAGTAGGCAATTTGTAGATCTTTGTTCATCAATAAGTGGGTTTTAGGAGTTCATGATGCCTCAAAATGTCCCCTCCAATTTGACACATAGGGATTTTTACTGGAGAAGAAGTTAACCCATACCACTTACCAAATGGTCAAAGGGAAATGGGTTGCCAAGTGCTTAGGAACTTCTGCTTTCAGTGTCCAGTGGGTCAGTGGGGAAATGGCAGGCCCATTATTTACACTGACTTTTGGGAAGCCCTGTCCTTTCTAGGAGCTGTCCCACCTGCGTGCTCTCACCCTGAGCAGAAGGGGCCTCTCAGGGACCAGATCCACACACAGTCTGGTGGGCTCTGCTATTTCTTTCTTCCATGAATGAGAATATTTTCTCCGTGTGAGCCTTGTGACAGCCCGGCAGACAGCCCTCTGGCCTGAGGCTTCTCACTGCACTTTGTTGACAGGAAGGCGGACTTCCTGTGAGGCCCGGATTAATCTCTCCCTGGCTTCTCCCCTGCCTGCTCATAGCCAGTGGGGATCGTGACCTTCAGAGAGAACTCTCGTCCTGCCAAACAGGGTGACTTGGGAACATATCTTTTGTCTTTAAAAAAAAATGAGCATCTTCGTGTCGCAGGACTCACACGACAAATTGCTGTGGACTGGATGGCTTAAGGCGACACAAATTTATCCCCTCTGAATTCCAAAGTCTGGAAGTCCTAAATCAGGATGTCTGGCCAGGTTGATTCCTTCTGGAAGCTTTGAGGGTGGATCCGTTCCTTGCCCTTCTCCTCTGTCTTCTGGTGGTTGCTGGCAATTTTTGGCCTGCCTTGGCGTATAGAGACAGCACTCCATTGCCTGCCTCCGTGGTTACATGGCATTCTCTCTGCATGTGCACGTCTAAGCTTCTCTCTTTTAAGGATGCCAGTCATTGGGTTTAAGACCCATCCTAATCCATTGCCACCTCATCTCAACTTGATTACATCTGCAAAGACCCTCTTTCCATATGAGGTCACATTCATAGGTTCTGGATAAACATGAAATTTGGGGAGAGAGGAACTGTTCAACCCCGTACAAATAGCTATACTACATATACTTTATAAAGTCTTCAAAGCAGCAAACATCTATTGGGCACCTGCTATGCTGCAGGCTAGGTTAGGGACAGAGGTAACGATGGCCTCCAGTGCTTAAACAATGCCTGGCTTCTGGTGGGACCTCAAACGTGTTTGTTCGACTCCTGGATCTAACTTGCTGGACATACGTAGATAAGTTTACTGCAGCATGGGGTCTGGAACCAGTCTGTCCAGTTCTGTCACTCACTAGCTCTGAGACTCTTGGCTCACACATAATACTGAACTTTCCTGGGCCTCAGTTTGCTCATCTTTAAAATGGGACAAAAGTGGCCTACTTCATAGGGTCATTTTGAGGAGGAAGTGAGTTAAGTCATATAAGGCAGTAGAAGAGTCCCGGCACATGTCGGTGCTTGGTGGCTGTTAACTCTTACCGTCCCCCGTGACACTGGCTCTGCTGCCCTGCTTTCCGCCACGTCCCCCTGCCCTCGCTGGCCCTTCTCTGTGCCCTGATCCCCATCCCTTCTCAAACTGGGCCGTAGAACTTGGCTGCCCTCTTAGAATCGGCTTGATCCCACCATCACGCATACTTAGTTTCTTCGTTGTTGTTGTTTCAACCTGGCCATGACCCATGCAATCTGCCAGACGTGTGGACCGCATAGGTACCGCTCACACCGCAAGCACTGCCATCACTGTTGCAGAACAAAGGAATCCTTGGGAGGAGAAGAGAACTTCCACTGTCTCGGTTTTGGTGTCCTCTCTCAGGGTTCCTCAGCCCCACCTACGTGGAGATGGATAGGATTGGGGTCCAAGACCTCAGGGCTTTGAGCTCATTCTCAGTATCTTAGAGCATCCACCTCGCATATCACATAGGGGAAACTGAGGCTCAGATTTGTGAATTGGCTTGCAATGTGTTCACTTTGCACCTTGAATTCTCTTCCTTCCTGCTTCACCTCTTCTCTGCCAGCAATTTAATTTTGTGTAAAGTCAGTGCTATTGCTAAGAGTTATAGGCAGGGGCTTAGCTGGAAATCAAAGCTCAATATTGAACACTGGAAAGTCAGAGGCTCTCAGGGACTTGAGGCTGTTTCTAAAAAGGGCCTCAGCAAGGAAGGAGTTGAACTGTCAGTTCGGTCAAACACCTGATTTGATTTCTGTTCTCGGCATTGGCTTTTGCAAAAATTCACCCATCCTGTCACCTTTCAGGATTTCCTCAGCCATCCCGCTACCCTTGGGATTCCACAGTAACCACAGGAAGGTGAGAACCAGGCTGGCACTCGGAACTGCAGGGAACGGTGATGCGGTCTTGCAGTCTGGTGGAGGCCATGAGCGTCAGAGCAGAAAGGACCCTCTTAAAGAGACTTATGTTGGGGGGGGGAAGAGAGAGAGAGAGAGCGAGAGAGAGCAGGCCCCCCACCATGTAATCCCCTTCCAGCTTTCTCCCCCTCCCCACAGTAATTCAGATTCAGGGTGGAGGGCCCTCATCAGGGAGACATCCTCTTGTCCTGTGACCTTTGTCATTAACTCTGAAATGTGTGATTTGTGAGATCCCAGCCTATCTTTTCCTTGTAGGCTCTCAGCATTATGGGCTGGACAGTTTTACATCCTTGCTCTTGGGTAAGGAGGTCAGGTAGACATAAACGTCATGTGATGCCCACCTGGGCCAAGGTGAAGTCTTTAGAAATGGCACTGCAGCCTTTCACCTCGTGGCTCTGTTTAATAGATGGGGACACAGAGGAACACGATGATCTAGATGGCAGCTAATCTTAGAGAAAAGGAACTGAAATATTAACCAGTGAGGTCTTGGTGCCAGCTTGCTTCACAACTGCATGTTCAAAATAGCCTGTCCAGTGGATATCATTCATTCCCCGTTCCAGTCTCCCAACTACATTCATTCAACAATGAATTTCTGCCAAGAGCAGATCATGAGGCTAAGGCCGCGAGACCTCAGCCAGCTCTTCCCCTCAGAGGCTTACAGTCCGGTGGCAAATAAAGACCAGAAAACAAGCATTTAGAATGCAGAAGGGCGATGGGCTGCCGGGGTAGGGATTCCTGACGTTTGTCCCACCTTTAATAACCTGAGTCGACATCCTAGGGGCTGGAATGAGCACATTATTTACAGATGGGTCACAGTCAAGAATGAAGAAAGCTTCACGCTGGGCTTCTCACCTTTGGGTGGTAAAGCTCAGAGTAAAAATCATGTTAAAGATAGTGCCGTGGGACAGTAAGAAAGGCCAGTTCTCCAGAGGGAAGCCAATTAATCTGTTAGGACC